ATCTAGGAAGCACTTTGAAGTTTTACATGCAGAGGAAGCTTGCTGTGTGGCTTTCTCCAAAGTCACTCAGCTTTAGGAATGATGTCTAATTACAGGCATTTTTTCATTTGTGTTATCAGACTGTCTGGCAAATCGATAGAAAATTGAACACCACAATGTGGCCTAATATTTTCAAGTTACACTAAAGAACAATAAAAATACAGCGATGCCAGACAAGGCCTTTTCTAGCTATTGTGAAATTGTTTTGCCTGACATCTAAAAAGCAGATTTTCAGAAGATAAATTATGTTATCTTGAAAGCCTCAGTCTCTGCCATTTGCTTTTATTTTAGTTCAAAAGAGACTTGGGTACACAAAGCTTGATGCACTATCAGTAAATAAATTTATAACCTCTTCAGATTCGATATCTAACTACAGATCTCAAAGAGCTGCGTATGACACCACTGTGATGACAAGTGCTTTGCAATGGAGCGGTCCCTCCAAGCTCTGACTTACCAGCCAGGTCCACTAGGAAAGCACCACCTTTTTCGCTCTACAGCAGTGCAGAGGGTGTCAAGCCCAATGCGATAATCATCATCCTACATCAGTTCCTCCTTGTAAAGATGAGAAACAAAGTTGCCTGGGGTTGTGGGAAGGGAGGGAGAAGTGATGCTAGGACACCCCAACAGAACAGATGGTGTTTCCAGCAGCCAGAAATGTCATTAATTGCTTTCCACCAAACGCCATTCGAGAAAGAATTGAAAGTTATTGCCAGTTACGATTTTATATTTATGGATATGAATGCAGTGCTGCACTTGCAGGGATGTCTTGAATACATGGAGTACCTGTGTTAACCTGCATTCGCTAGCAAAGGAAATCCAGCATCTTCAAAGCCTATCACAACTGTTGGTCAGGTGCGGAGCAGTGCGTGCAGCACGTGTGACACAGCCCAGAGCTGCTCAGAGCGGCACAACAGTACAGCAGTTTGATGTGCCTGCCTGTTTGGTCTGGGAAATCTGGACAGGGTTGCCTTTCAAATCCCAGTGGTTATTAGTGCATTTACTTCTCACCCGTGGCACCCCAACGTGCAGGCTGGCAAACTCCCTGGGCTGTCTGTCAGTATGGTGCCTGCTCTGTTCAGGTGCACACACTTCTCCCTTTGCAAAGCAGATATTTCTTCCTGGCGCAAAGGCTCCGGGGTCTCCCCCAGCACAGCAGTCACTGCCATGGGTGCATGGCCACAGCAATGCAGTGTGTGTACACAGTGTGCATGGGATGGACTGTATCATCTCAAAACCCGGTGCAGGTATCTCGGCGAAGCATGGCCTCGTGATATCCCAAGCAGCCCGGGAATTAATGCTGTGGTACAGATAGGCCGGAAGAAGGGGGAGAAGAGCTCTCCTGTAGCAATGCAGATCCACCCCAGGTCACTCAGCCATCTGAGGCAGAGCCCCTTTCCAGGCTCCATGCTGCAGCATAAAGCAGAGCGTGGCCAGGAGGGAAACTCTTAGGCACAGCCCAGAGCCCATCATCCCAGCTCAGCAGCACACAGAAAACATTCAGCTCCTCTCTGATTTCAGCCCCAAAGAAGTTGGGTAAAAGGTCAAACACAAAACTTGCCTCTGAAATCAGATTAATCTATATAAAGGCTTTTGACTGGCAAGAAGATTTGTTAGACTGTGATGTGACGTCATGTGCATGTCTAATAAGGGTTTTGATTGACAGGCCAACAATTAATAGATGTGTCTTTAGGGATAATTAAGTCTGTTGAATGGCACTGTATTATTTGAAGAAAAAAAGGGGTCACATTTTCAATTTTATCTTTCTTCTGCCACATGATACGGCATGAAAGATAATGTTTCATTTATGATCTGGCAATCTGTTTTCTAAGCTAGCTCCATTTACGTCCTTTCCTCTCAGTTGGGGTATGGTGGGTTACAGGCCCTGGGCAGCCATCAGAAAGAGCACATGAATGAACTTCACCAGATACATTAAAAAAACCCAACCAACCAAACAAACAAAAAAACCCCAAACTTGTCCTTTTTAAATACCAACTCTCAGCCACCTGCAATGTGTTGTGTACGAGGGGCAACTCCCAAGGAAGAGAACTGCAGCTGCATCCACTTATTTTGCCCTCACAAGTAACTTCTCAGCTGATCTAAAAGGACAGAGCCTCTTGCACTCAGTGGCATAATTTTGCAACAGCTGAGGA